TTTTGGAGAATCTTCCTTTCAGTTTGTGCTTGAAGTAAAATATCGCCTACATACAGGTTTCTACTTATTTCTGCTGATGATTTGGTTCCTCCCGAGCATGAAAATGCTAGATGTGAAGTAGTTGGGAGACTAGGTGACGCAATGATGCTGAATGGTAACGGATTGAGGTGGTACTCTATTATGTTAGACCTCATGATAGGCTTCGTGGTATCTTTTACCTGCAGTGGTCGGTATGAGTGTTTATGCGCATATTTAAGCCTAATCTGCGTGAACGCGGCCTCAATATCGCAGATTAACTAAACTTTCTGAAGCGACTTGAAATGAAGATGTTATGAATTTTGTTCATAATAAATGATTCGTCATTGCGTACAACACCGTTTGAAGAGGGTCGTCCTTTTTCCTTGGACAAAATATCAAACATCATTTTTAATGACGTGGCCTAAGGAGGGCGCGATAGGCCCTGATGTTTGATTCTTTGTTCGGCTGAGCGTGGTAAACGCTGTGTGTCAGTGGCATACTGATGTTTCGGGAAGGCATGTTCAATGATTACTTGATTTTCCTAGTCCTTCAGGACTTTGGAGTACCAGTATGACTGATCACAATTAAGTCTCAGCTGATTCTGTACGGATGCTGGGCTCTTCATAGCGAGGCAATAATCATTCCCAAGTTCTGAGACATTGCACTGCAAGGGAAATGTTGCTGCGGCATAACCTACATCGAACGATATTGAGTTTGAGTAACTTTCGAAATGTTCCTAAACTTCATAATCAGTGGCGCAATCATCAGAAGAAACTCCTAGCTCTTCTAGTTTGAAATGTTTCTCTGATATTCGATCCTCTGATCCTTCGTGAATGGCGATCAACCCAAAGGAAACTAGCTAATGTTCTGCCGGACTGTGTAGCCTGCCTTCGCCATAAATTGCTGGAACAAACACGGTTTTTGCGATTCGCAACCCTGAAGGTGTGCTCTGTGGAACTCCGCCTTCGATGACTAGGTCGTGATATCTTTCGAGTGCAACCAAAATTTTGGGCACCTGTCGCTTTCCTTGTGAGTTGGATTTTGCCACGCAGATCTGGTTATGCTCAGGGAAATCGGCATGTTCTATTAGTCTTACCGAAGGGAATGCTTTTGTTACGATTGGTTTGGTTTGTACGTTGAAGCGTGGTTCTTTTCCGTACGCGGATCTAACCCTCAAAGGTACAATTGTGCTGTCGAACCGTTCAACGTGTGGGTAGGAGATTTATTCGCAAAACTCGAAGCACTCTGATTGCGGGTGGTGCACAAGGGATAGTTCTCTGTAGCAGGTGTGACAGAGATAGAGGATGTGGTACTCAAGCCCCCCTCCCCCTCCCGAAGCAGCGGTGTTGACCGCGGGTTCTGGCCTGTGCCAGAACACCATAAAGTTAAAGTTAAAGTTTTTGGCGTTAATCAATCCCGTCTGAGGGATGCGCCCCCGCACTCGACTTCCATTCAGAATCGTAGTGGCGTAATGAGTGCGTATGTGGCCTATACAATGACTTGCGGTGGCCAGCCGATGAACAAGTCAGTGCTTTTATCCTCCCAGACGAGTCTGGTACCAATACACCGACCCCGGAGGGATGGAAGGCTTGGTTGGCCTAGGCGGGCATCGATACGGGATTCGAACCCCTGACCGTGCGTGTGATATAGTGCGCCACTTGCCACTACACCACCTCCGCCCCCAGAACACCATAGATGACTAAAACCACTAGGTGTGTGACGCCCTCTGTGTTACCAACCTCGGCATTCAACAGGTGATGTAAGATGTGACGAGGTGGTAGGTGCTCTGTGACAAGAACTGGTAACAACTGGCAAGGGGCTTATGAGGGGCCTCAGAGCAAAAGTCACTTATCAATTGATTGCTAACGATTAGTATGTACGATCTAGCTTTGACTCAGATAATTTCGTTCGATAAGACGGGTAAGGGTAGTGATAGGGACCGATCAAACGCACTACATTGTGAGGAGAAGAAATTCCAGTTCATTTATTGCGGTTAGATTACTGCCGCCACACAGGAAGGCGAGTAACTCAATGAGGGACCACAGTTTCCTTTGCTTCAATATCATTCGCGATAGAACTTACCGCCAATAATCTCTGAGATTCTCAACCAGTGATAGAGTGTAAAGGATAAAGTCTTGGGCGTCAATCAATCCCGTCCGAGTGATGCGCCCACGCATTCGACTCCAGTTCAGAATCGTAATGGTGTATCGAATGCGCATGTGGCCTAAACAAAGACCAGCCGGTGTACAAATCAGTACTTTTATATTTACAGACGAGTCTGGTACCAATTTACCGATCCCGGAGGGATGGAAGGCTTGGTTGGACTACGCGGGTATCGATGCGGAATTCGAACCCGTGCATGTGAGATAGTGCGCCACTTGCCACTACACTACCTCCGCCCCAACCGATGATATATACCTAGAAAAAGAATCACTACTGATAAAGACATCTGATAATGCTTTTATTTTTACTCGGCAACATTTCTGAATACCATTGAAGGCTTCGGTTGGTTAGCAGTCAAATCTTCAATGCGTGATTATTTTCATAATGCAGAGCATTAGATCGAGACTAATAATAGGTATAAGAATCGGAACATACTATATAACAATTACACTGCCCTGTTGATCCTGTTTCGACTTTCATGCTCAGAAAAGATTCAGTTGATCCAAGAAGAAGTCGATTATTACACCTCTGTCTTAAAAAGAGGGAAGCTCGACGTTAGCCTGGTAGTGCGACTGGATAGCCAGTCCGACCCACCCAGAATCCCTAGTGAGCTTTATTTGCATGTTGTCATTTTAGGGTCCTGATGATCCTTACAGAGGTCATAATGGCCCACTGTACGTGACAAGAGGATACGCTGAACATCCGCTACATCAAGCGTTTCTGGAAGCTGGTCGTCAGCACCCAATCGGCACCACAGACGATATGAATGGCTTCAAACAGGAGGGCTTAGGCACAATGGATATGACTATTCAGGATGGAATACGGTATGTTTGTTCCTTTTTCGAAACCTATACCAATTTTTTTGTGAAACTCTAGAAGCCCTCCAATCGCCTTACGTCGATGTTTATTATAAGGATGTGCGTAAAGTGTGTGCCGAATATTTTGCAGTAGTCCCTATATTTCTCAGTATTTTCTGGTCGCTTCTGCGGAGTTTTTGCGCGAGGACACTGCTCATGCGTATATATATATACATATATATGTATATATATAACACCTCAGGCTAAACCATGTAATGATCGAACTGTCCACCCATATCCAACACTTTATTCTTTCAAGTTCGAATCCGATCACTCCGCTGCTGCAACTCGTTGAAACTTGCGCCAAACATCTGGCCTTGAAGCTACTCTTGAGCAGTTCTGCACAAACCTCGTACTCTTCACAGCCTGAAACAAAAGGTCAAAGATAAACCTTGATCTGGTCGATCGATGGTGATATCTTGGTCTTCTGTTCTGCGCATACAAGTGATTAGTGCCATTTACTGTATTTCAATGGGAGTTTCCAGACATCGAAGCAAAAAGGACTACTGCGAAAATTTTGCCCTATATATTCTGTACAACCTGTTAGATTGGCTAATTTACGTCTAATACTATATACCGACTTATCTTGAGTATCATCATCATCTCCTTGTTTTTTTTTTACATTCAAGAATTTTCGGGCCTACATGGAATGCGGGCAGTTGTTGTGTAGTCCTCAATGAAGGTGAAAGGTTAACTCGTCCACTTACCTTGCCTGCCTGGCATTGATTTCCTTTTATTCACTTTCAGCAGCTACAGCAGTGTTGAGTCCTGACAGTGAAAATATGATAGCATGATATGATTTGAATATCATTAGTCGTAGAGGTTGGGGATGCGGTATTTTTATCCGGAATTTCAGGGCAAGCTGCAGTGGCTTTGCAATAACAGTATTTTTTTCACATCTTTTCACATTCGAATCTTTACTGGCCCATGCGGCGCGCCGTCCAGGTAGAAATACCACACTCCGGAGCTAGCAGTAATTAGCCTGGAGGGGTTGCTACAGTATGCTCTTCCTCTTCCTTTGGAGTGATTTCCCTCACTTCTGTAATTGTGTAAAACTTTGAGAAAATTCCTTTGCAATTCTTCGAGAAATATAATCATTTCTCAGAACACAATTCAATTAGCTGAAGAATGAGAAAGAAATCAAATAAGGGTCAGCCAGTGGAAACACTGAATTATTGAAAAAGGAAGGTGGCATCTAGAAACAGTTGCTACTCATTGACATAGAGAAGGTTATTCTCACCTTTCTGGTATAAGCCTATTTTATTAGTATCCCTATCGAAAAGATCAATTAGACCGGTCCAATTGCACTACATCCTTTTTTTGTTTAAGATGTAGTACGTCACGGGCATACATCTGGCCCAATCTGTCGCGGACCAATCTTCATACGTCGAGTGGAATTACTTGTACTCGCGTTCTTTTTGATGGCACGCGCGCAATTGGCATCGAATTCATAAGGTCGATAATTTGCTGTTAGATATAGTCTTCGATCAGTATCCATAAATTAATGGATTTCGAATTAAGAAAGATCAACTTCCACGGTACGGATAATATTGATTCCTATAGTCGAGAGAAGATTTATTGTGAAGGCGATGTGATTATTTGTGGAGGTACATAAAAAGTTAATGAAATGGTTTCACCAGTGCCATTTAGTGCAGTAAGAACATATTTTTAATCCGTTGTCTCGTATGGATTGTAATGCCGTTTTTTAAACCAGGCGCGATCAATTCCCCTCAGCTATTGATGTTAAGCGGTGTTGGACCTGCAGACCACCTGAGAACACATGATATCCCTGTTGTCGTCGATCTTCCGGGAGTTGGACAAAATTTGGTCGTGGGTTTTAGATGAGTTCAGCGCATTTGAAGGTGATCTTGTCTAGAAGTCTTGGAAATTATTTCGTTTTCCTTGTTACAGGATCATCTCGAGGTATACGTGCAGCAGAAGTGTAAACTACCAATCACACTGTACAACAAAAGTTCTTGGAGGTTTCCGCATAACATGATCAAAATTGGGCTAGGTAAGGTGATGCTCAGAACAGCCTTTCTCACCCTTTTGCTCGTAGTGTTACAAGTTATAATATCATTGGACAACTGGGTACTCCGCACGAAAGGTAATTTGTGGCCTGCCCGAAAAGATGCAATATGTGTATCTCATGTTGAACATTCTTGCAGGAAATAATCGTTGCTGATCGTGATCGCTCTTTGTATAGTGATTTTAGTGGACCTCCATGCAGTCGCCTATCGGCTCAAAGCAATAATCATAATTTCATATTATGCATCTCAAGGGGGTGAATACTGGGTCGCAGTGGCCTTTTGAGATGAGACGTATATACTTGTATTTGTTTTGGACGCTGACGTCAAGTCCACATTTCGAATCTACGAAACGATTTAAGGAACAAAGTCACGGAAATATGTCTTCCATGTGATATGGGTTTTGCTGAGCATGTACGAGGTCGAGTTGCCAAGCAGGATATGAAGTGATAGCGCAACAGGTAAAGCACTGGACTCGCAGGCCTGATAAGAGGGTTTGCACTCCTTGAGCGTAAACTTGTTTTGCATTTTTATAAATTGTGCGCTGAAGACTTGCAAATTAGTTTTACACCTCCCATTAATCCGCTGCAGCCCTCGCTAGTTATAAGGAAAATAGAAAATAAGCAGTTGGGCTGCGCACACTAACGCGTGCAAAACATTCTCTAGTATTCCACCATGGTCAGTGGGATCAATGAGGTATCAATGGACTTCCTGCTCCGTATCATGTCCCACACCCAAGTCAGCATGCGCCCACCTGTTTTCCACAATCCTCATCGGCCTACGCGACTTTTAGACGGACGCACACTTCGACGTACAAACAGACCCACAAAGTTACCGCTTTATACATAGATCGTCCGGCTGACGCCGAGCTCCCCTCCTTCTCGTGTTGGAATAGCCTCCCCGCCTGCTTTTTCAAATTTGGAGGCTTCGGTAGATGAGAACAGAAGGTATTCATTCCCAGACAAATCCAAACACGCAACACAACTCGTGCGTCCGCCATGAACAAACCTTAGGTTCCGTATGTTTGGGTACTCGATATATTTCGGGCTTATTGAGCCCTGGTTTCGAAGTTTCGCTTCAAGTCTGAATTAACATTTTTTTGCACACGCCTCGCCTCCTGTGAGCGGAGTTAAGTCCTGCTACCCGACATAAGAGCTCCTATCCTGCCGCCTGTATTCCTATCGAATATGAGAGCTCTAGGTACAAGTTTAAATCTTTTCGCACAGACCACGCCCCTTGTGAGAGAGGGCCGGTCCTGCCACCCACCATAAATATTCCCATCCTGCCGCCTTTACCCCTGCCAGATTTGAAAGTCCATGGTCTACGGGGACAGGAGCTGTGATTTTTTCACACGGATCCCTCCCCTTGTGGACGGAATCCTGTTCTGCCACCCATCATGAGTGTTCCCATCATGCCGCCTTTACCCCTGCCAGATTTGAACGTCCATGGGAACCGGAGTTATAAATTTTCGTGTATAAATGTTACAAACGATTCGAGCTTCCGAGCACGCCCCGCCCATTATGGGCGGGCTTCCGCTGACGTCTTTTATGCCGGAGACACCTTCGACAGTGCTTCCCCTACATCAACTTTTTCCTGCTCTGTTAGCTTTCTTCAGGTCGAGTTATAAATGTTTTCATAAAGCATTGCATTTTTGGAGAACGCTCCGCCTATCGGGGGTGGGTCTTCGTAGTTCGACCTAACTTACTAATGCACACCTCTAGCCGCCTTTACACCCCAGTTTTGAAGCTGTCTTGTGACTGAATTTGAAATCATGGTCTTTAGTACAGCTCATTTCGATGTACGCCATGCCCACTGTGGGCGGGGCTCCACCAAGCTGATGTATGCTTTATATAATACTTCTCGGGACATGGCCCACCCATTCCACTCTTGACCCGATCTCTCCAGGCAGATCTAAAGGAGCTAAGGAATTTTGTGACAGACATACAGTAGCGCTCAAAAGTCTTCGGTGAAATGGTTCTTCAGCTGTACTTTTTAGTTGTAACTCCTTTCCTACTGGATCTAATCATGTGAAATTTGTATATTCTGAGCGTGGGTGTATTGTGAGTAGTTACCACTATTAACTTCCAAACTGATCATGTTCCAGATATTCTAAAGGGCATGAATTCGAAATCGGCTGAAAATACATATGATGGTCCTTCTACAAGCTCTTTTCTTTTTGTCATGACTAAAGTGTACGAGCGGTAATGCCGAACACAATAGATGAGAAAAACGCTCATAAGGTGCGAATAAAAGCAGACGTCAACAACTTCAGTTTCAGCAAAATCTGCTACCGTAACAAACATCTTGCTTTATCTGTGGATATTGCAGCTTCGCAGTCACATAGTGTTGGGTAGGGTGAAATATGCTCTAGTTAAACATATCCAAATTTCGCGTGATTCGGTCTACTAAGAAAAAAATTATGAACGAAAAAGCGACAAAGCATTTCACCGAAGACTTTTGAGCGCTACTGTACATAACGACAGAGGAAGCGCTTTATAGTAAGTAGGATTGTTTTTTAACCCATTGACGACCGCGTGGCCACACCATATCGTGCTCCTGTAGTATTTATATTATTTATCAAGTATTCTTATAATTTTTTCATGTTTTCAAGTATCAGCTGAGTTCATAACCTTTTAGAGAATCTTGAGGCATCGTGGTACAAGAACCGTTCGCTTCCAACTACAGTTATAAGAGAAATTGAAAGTTAATGTAAGGCCAATGTAGAAGGCGCGGGGGTTAAAGACCTGTACTGATCTTTTCTGTCCCGAAGAGGGATGCTCCTATGTACCATAGATCAAATACGAGATTATAAAATCTTCAACTGCTCCCTGCACTATAGGTAAAAAGGGCTGGAGTGGCTTGTCATATCATGCTTTTTGAATGAAAATGATTCACAATCTATGAAGCACTTTTGAGGCATCCCCACTTTATTGAAACGATGACGTGATTTGTAAAGCGGGATATATTAATCGATGGGTTCAATGCTCAATGATCATCACATCAAATTTCAGAGTATAATGCAACACTGATGTTTTCACAGTGAAGGCAATGCGTTGGAAAGGTCTATCGCACTCGTCATCGTAGCTATTTCCGTGGAATTAAGAGCAGCATTGTAAAAGTGTTGAGATGAGATATATTCGGCAATCATGAAACGCAATTCGCTCTTTCTGAATGGGAAGAAAGGAAATTTTCCTGGTTTCCGAAAGGTAAAAGGCGATAACCATCCCACCTTGACTGCAGAAGCAAAATCATAACACTTGGCAAGTATTTTCGTCGTATTCTCTGTAAGATCCCCAAAACCTATGGAGGTGTTCCATCTATTACCAGAATGCTGGATAGGATCCCTGTTCTCGGCTTTTACGTTAATGAAGAGCAGGCCAAGTCATGAGCCTTCTACATAGTACTCGTCGTTCCTCACAATAGAAAGGGCAGGACCAGTCGTGGAATCCGAGTACTTGACAACGGTCCACAAAAGCGTACACTGCCTGAAAGTGGAGAAGTCGTAGTCGTACTTGAAAATAAAACTCGGGTCCTACGGCATTGCGCGGGCGGAAAGCGGATTATGCTAACTTACATAGACTGTTTTAAGCGAGTATGATTGAAGATATCATAGATTAGCTATCATAACAATCACAATGCACTAAAAGGTCTTGAAGTCCAAAAATAAACAAAACAGTATCTTTTATGGGAGATGGTTTTCGATGCTCATCATGACCAGGATGCAGTTAGATAACGGTATATCTGAAACTGGTTTGCGAGACTTTTGCATGCATTTTATAAAAACCAAAACAAGTTCTCGCACACGAGATGCGAACCCTAATGCCAAGCCTGCGGGTTCAGTGATTTAGCTGTGTCGCTACCGCTTCACATCCGGCTTGGCAACTCAAGCTCGATACATGCTCCGCAAACATGGAAGAAATGTTCCCGTAACTTTGTTCCCAGAACCGTTTCGCCTATCTAGAATGTGGATCCGACATCAGAATGAAAAAGCATATATGTAGGATACATCTCATTTTGAACTGCTACTGCGGACCAGTATCCTTCCCTTGTCAGAATGGGGAAGACAAAGGCAAGTTGTTGGATAGGTCTTCATAAGTTTGCAACTGTAAAATCATGCTGTACTATTCAGTTCCGCTCTCTCAAGGGCTCTCTCCCATCACAGTGTAACTGACTGATATTTAGCTGTGTTTAATAGCGTCTATAATACATGAATCATTTATATGTAAACGAGCGTTTAGTGGCTAAAAGTGGAGAGGATATTGTGTGTAATTCGACATTGTTCAATGTCAAGTTACACATATCGTTAGGTAGGGTGCCTTGAGTCAAAAAATAGACGCCAGCTTACACAATTTAGTAATTTTTACAATGAGTGAGAAGAGAATACGTTTCGGTTGAGCATAAATAGCAAGATGCTAGTCTTCGAGTTGTACCCCCTCCGCAAGATTTCTCTCTCAAGGCTTGTCAAGCTCTTAGAACCTGGCCTTTCATGCTCAAACGTGAAGGTTTCGTGGAATGAGTTGAGGCAAGGTCATGAGCATATTGTGAATCAAGTGCATCGTCGTCATTTCGATTATGACTAACATTTCCATTGCTTCTCTTTTCGCAGTAGACTGCTAGTAGCTATGAATATAACCACTTCCAAAAAAAGAGTTTGAAAGTTTTCAGCACGAATTTAAAGGTTGCTGACATGATATCAGAAAACCACCGTTTCCCAAATGCTTCCACCTCGTGTAAAGAAAAAAGTGAAGTTGTTGTATGAATTCATCTTCTGCGACCAAGCGTAGGTACGCAGACACGCTCCTGCATCAAGGCATGCATAAAAAAGAAAAGGAAAAAGAAAGGCGAAGAAAGTTTCACGCAAGATGAAACACGATTGTTCGCAGCGAAAGTGCGATCAGGTTTTTTGGCTGAACGATTGTCCGACATGTAGATTTCTTACACAGATTGACCATATTGAGCTTCAATATCGACTTGAAGAACGATTGCCATCCGCGAGATTTGCTCCTCCTCAACATATATAGAAGCGACAGTACAGCAGATCACCCAGCAATTTTTGCATGTTCGAAACCTGGAGCGCTTGAAGGCAGGCGATTTGAGATCAACGACCGAGTAATTATAGGAACGCAACATTCGCCTGTTTGGAGGTTCACGCGGCAAATTGCGCAGCGAAAATCGTGGTGATTTGAATGACTATGGCGCCTATCATCGGGGCATAGGTTTGAAGTAGAATGGATTAGTTTAATCAGCTTATCCTACTAATCTACTCTACTTCAATCTTGTTCCCCAATGATAGGCGTTAGAGCCACTCAAATCGCCACGATTTTCGCCGCGCACTTCTCCGCGTGCACCTCCAAAGCGCGATTGTACCCATACCCGTCGAGATTCCCATGCTATTACCAGGTAAAATGCTCGCCACACGTCGGTCTTCTTCCTTCCTGTTACTCATTCAGAATGCACGATTCGCACTTCTTCCTCTTATCGGATCAAATGGTTCATTTCTGATCCTGAAACCTTTGAGGGGAAACCTGTGTAGTCATTACAAATCTAACACGGAGGGCAAACACATAAGCATAAACAGANAAATCGCCTTGGAGTACATACTCGTGAAAAACAAGGAAGGTTGAAGGAAGTGTGTGAATGATAGCTGAATATGGTATTCACTTGAAATTAATGTCAGAAAATATTGCAAAGGCTTCTATTCGTAGGACAGGACGCTGTGCGGAAAAATTGTCGACGAAAGGAAACAAAGCTACGCGCTGAAAAAGAAGGGCACTACTTCTTTGCCTGCTTTCTATCTTCGCTCGTATATCAGATTACACTTTATCTAACCCTATAAAGCCAAACTCGAGCGCTTTGACCTCTTTGAAAGGCTCTTCAGGACTTTCTCCTTCTATTTCTGTAAACAGCATTTAGAGCTCTACTGGAATACTGGGTCTCGGTTCAGTACTCTGCAGAAATAAGAAACCCCTCTCCAATAAGTTGCCTGCAGATCATGCGTAGAAAAATTGCTCGAACAACAGAACTTTCCACGAAACACGTATATTATCTTTGAAAATGATAGTTTTTAGAATGGTTCCTCTCTCGAAAAGGCCTAGGAGCGTCAAGTCATCTCGAGACGGGAGGTTTTGCAAGATCAAGCAGTAAAGTCAAGCATCCCGACATACAATTCCACTTCCTACCATCCACGGTCCATGATGACGGTCGAAAAGTTGGAAACTGTCATGCGTTTCAGGCTGGTTATGTCGTCAATCTGAGTACCTATGTTTTTTTTCAGTCTTCAATTTTTCAGCTGCATTTAGGTTCATGTGGGTAATATGCGAACGAAATCAAAAGGTTGCATCAAGTTGGCTTCCAGAGACCCAAGACGACATCCGATCATTGATCCTAATTACTTGAGTCACGAAGACGATTGGAAAGAGTTTAGGTAAGTTCAGACATACGCGCAACGGAAGGTATGGCTGCCAATGTTATACGTCAGTTTCGGTATACTGCATGACCTTTGCTAGCCACAGTTTTATGTTGATCTGAATTGAGAAAAACTTACTTTTCTCCTAAGGATGTTTTAACTCATTGCTGTCACTCTTCTACAGCTGTGGTAGTATAACTTCTGTAGCTCTAGTTAATTCGCAATTGGCCAATTCAGTTAGTGCTTGGTTTTCGGAGGTGTTAACTGGAGTAGTCAAATATTGTTATGTAAACCAGTCGGCTCGCCTGGCTAACGCCGGGCTTCCCTCCTTATGACAGAGTTGAAATAATCGGCAAACCGGCCCCTGTCTATAAGAAACAAGTGATATAATAGCACAGTCATGATAGCATTATTATCGAAAGTCTTTATCAATGCTTTATCAGCTTCCTCTCTCCACGGATATATGTATCATTGAATCCCAGACTGTTGGTGGACGGATAACGTTTGTCATAAATGGTATCGAAGCCAAGAGAAACCGTGATCCTTCATTGAGTCACAAACCTTAGTGGGTCGCGGTCGTAAACTAATAGCAAAAAATGTATCAAATTTTCATTACATATGGTGTAGTAGTCCTAATCAGTCCCTATCATTGCACTTATCCGTTTTATCGAATGAACCATACCAAAGAGTCAAAGCTAAATCATAAGTAACAAAGGCGTTAGGATTGAACTGGTAGATCTCGTTCTCTTGGCCCTCTTCTACCGTCAGCGTTCCCATCCTGTCGTCAATGTTTCCATCCTGATTCGTCTACTTCTATCAATTTGGACTATCCAAGTGCACGGTTGAGTTCTGTATTTCCGCTCAAACATTTATTTCGTAGGAACCCCTCCCCCTGTGGGCGTTGCCGGGCCGTTCCGCTCGCCATGAGAGTTCCCATTCCGTTTGCCTGTACTCCTAACAAATTTGGACACTCTGACTTCAAATTGGCAATTTTCGCGCAAACCCCGCCCACTAAAGGTGTAGTCTGGTCCTGCCACCCATCATTAGTATTCCCATCCTGCCGCATGTACTTCTATCAAACGTGAGCTATCTAGTTCCACCGGATTCGGAGTTACGAATTTCCGGTCAAACACACACAGACAGACAAACCAACAGACAGACTTAGCGCGTTATAAAGTGTGTTCCAAAATTGTGGGCGACGATTCATGGCAATGTATTTAAAGCTTCTGAGCCGAGAATGACAGTGGAATCTATATACACGTTTGCTTACATCATGTGCTACAACATGCTACAGTCACATTTCAAAATATCCCACACGAGCGAGGATGCGGGCCCAAAGTTTGCTCTCGAACACCTCGCATGTTTGCACGCAGGTATCCTCCTCCATTTCTTCCCAACCTTTTTTAAGTCTTGCTTTCTAGGGCTCCAAACTGGTACAGGAAACCCGAGAGATCCTCTTCTAATCAGATACCATACGGAGGAGTCAAGTTAGTTAAGATCTGGAAGGCAGGATGGCTATCCCTCTTTGCTAGTAAAGTCTGGCAGTCAAATTCGACATCACTCCCGGCAAGTTCGGCTCTGTGGGCTGGACTACGAGCTGTTTCAGGAGTTGGATCAGTCCTTCAGTATTCCCTTTGAACAGAGATCTTTATCAATTTATTCACCGGCACCGACGAACCCACGTGTGTCTCACCCTTGCCAGTGACTCACTCAAAAAACCACTTTGCTGTCCTTGTAGCACCTTTCCTGCACGTTCGGTAACTCTATACGAAACACGATCGTCTTATTTTTTGAGGAATAGTTTTTGCGTAAAAATTTTTGAGCTAGATAAAATGATGAAGGGAATCTGTTTCAACTCAAACGAGCCAACAACCTTCTGAATTTTTTCAACCTACTTTGTCTGCTGAGTCAGAAGATGAAGTGGACTTTCTGCATATGATAGGGATGGCAAAGGAGCTTCTACGCAACATTCTGCCATCTCGACAACTCCGATAAGCCGTGCCCGTTGACTTCCTTTTGATATATCGCCCAGGATCGCGATCGACTCGCAGACGGACCATTTTAATAGCCCTATCTTTAGAAACATTAGCCTTTCTACCTCTTCCTGGTATGCTTCCGATTAAGTGTCCCTTTCTATATCGTTTAATAACCTCCTATAGGATATCATAAAAATCACAAGGAATTTTGAAATGCCCTTCCTCCTCTCGCTTGTCGATGATTGCAAGCGGCATTGAATGAGCTCATCTACACCAGCCCATCTAAACATTGGGAGTTTTCCTTCAGTAGCCATGTATTTTGTAAGAAAACCTTATGCAACTAATTAGTAGCGGGTGAAAGGAATATAATAAATTACTACAACCTTAACAGGTTGACGACAACGCTCGTTTAGGCATTTTTGGCGGCGTGGGACCGACGCAATATTTGCGGCTCCGTCGACCGCGGGACATATACGTACCGCGTTGTCTCTTAAGGCCCGTTTTCCGAAGCTTGAGAGTGAAAACTACTTCTAACTACATTTTGCTACTTAGTAAGTCGATTAATAGAGTGAAAAACACACAATAGTGTTTTATATAATAAACCAGTCGGGCCGCCCAGCTAACGCCGGGCTTCCTTCCTTCTTACGGGTTCGCCCGGCTACGCCGGGTGCTCCTCCTTCATGTGAAAAATTTGCTATGCGTAAATAACTCTTAACTCTAATAACTTAATAACGAATTCTCCCTTTTCTCTGAAAACTCTACACCCTCAGTATCAGCTCCGAATTGGGGGCGATTTTTTCTGTAAGCCGTCTTCGCTGTGTCCGAATAGAACATCGTGTGATATCACAAAAGCGATTATTCAGAGAAAAAATAGTATTCAGAGACTTCATCGCGGCTGAGGCTACTATGTTAGGTACCATCAATGTTCCTCAATGCCATCATCAAGGGCTCTCCTCCTTCTT